AACCAGTCTTTTCACAAGGAAAAAGTTGGATGGGTAGACCCAACAGTCTCTCAGGACAACATACTTTCCATCTTTGAGGAAGCCATTGTATGGCCCAGCATGTTTAACCAGGTAGGATCCATAAAAAGTCAAGGAATATCAAGGTATGTTCTAAAATATTCAACGAGTGGATCAAAAAATTTCAGACTTTTCTACTTGGAACAATTGATGATGATTGGTGAATGTGTTCATAGCCAATTGATATCTGAACTTTACCTTTCTTCAGGTGACAATGTGCTATGGTGAGCTAGATCTTTTTCCAGCTTACAAAAAACTATCAAAAGAAAGGAAAGAGAGGGAGAGGGAGAGAAGAAGGGGAAATTACTCCTTAAAAATTAAAGCAAAAGTTTAAGCAAAAGAACATTACATCATCTAAAGAACTTGTAAAAAACCAGACATAAGAAATTATAAATGTGTAATAACTAGTTGAAGGGATTGTGAACCATAACTTGTTTACAACCAACATGTTCACCTAGTAAACTAAAAGCAAAAGTAAAATTACTCGACATAGTATGTGAACAGGCTTGTCCTCAGGATTCATAAAAGGAAAAACAAACCCTATAAGAAACCTGTTAGCTACTGCTGCAATTAATAGTTGCAGGAACTAAATGAGGAAAAAAGCATAGTAAACCATGATGAAAAACAGACAATAAATAACTGAAAAGCATTGACTGATGGCATTAAAGAACAGCCACTTATGGCTAACCAGAATTTTCTTTGTTTTGTGCTTTTGTGTTCATATGGGTGCAGACACACTAGCCAAAAGAGACATTTGTGACATGAAAACATAAATCTATGAATTTTACATCCATCACCACCACTTTTCAATGTTCCAACTTTCTTCCTTTTATTTATACTCAGTCACTCCCTCTATCCTTGTGTAATGACAACTGCCATTCAGGTTCTAGAAAGGCAAAGAAGGAAGGAAAGCAATTTTGCTGCTACGATTGTCTTCCATGTCCAAATGGGAAAATTTCTAACCGAACAGGTATATTTCTGGAAGCAACAGAAATTCAAATATATCTTCCATTATCCAATATGTGTCCATGTAAAGATGACATGTGCCCCCTGATATGACAACATGAACAAAAAGCCCCCTGGTTTGAATATTGTGACATTTTAATTGTGGGACTTTCCTTAAAATCACTCCAAAACATTCAACTTATGTAATTGCAGCTGCTGGAATCTTTACTTAGCAATGAGTGGGAATTATGTGACCCTTTCAGTGCCCTTAATATGACACTTTTAGTGCCTGTTGGCATATTTCTAAATAAAATTCTAAGGAAATTTTGCTGCCTTAAAAGACTCCAGCAGTGAGGGAAGCATTCAACCATTAGGGATTGTCTCCTTCCACATGAACTTGCCTGGCATCTAAGCACAGCTGTTGAAGCCTACTTCAGTGTGGCATTGCTTGCAGAGGTAAAGTTGCAAAGATGCAGCAGGGTTTCTCAAAATGGCATCCCATATACCCAATTTCCTACACCAACAGTATTGGTCATCTTGCTTTGCATCTATGCTCTAGCAAATGAAGACTTTTTCTTTTTCAACAATTGCTTTTTTGCTGATTTTTTTGTGTATTTGTGTATTTGTGTTACCCTTTGCCGTGTTTGTTTTTCACCTAGTAATTTGTCCAGCAATCTGGAATGGGCACAATTTTTCTCTTTAAACATTGATTTTTTATAAAGCTATCAGTAAGATACTGGCACCCTTAATTTGCTAGTTGTACTTTTTAAACCTACATTCACTTTGTTGCTAATGCATTGTAATTATGCCCTATTTCCTAACCTGCTTGCAGTGATTTTGAAGAATAAAAACACAAGGCATAAATTTAATCAGAATTGCTATTATTTGTGAGAAATGTTTTCAATAATAGGGAAAGATATTTCTTAGGTCAACTGGATCCTAATTCCTGTATTCCTCATGCAAGACTTTTGACAATTAAATGTGATGAAAAGTTCCAAAATGATACTTCAGGTTTTTCTTTAGCAACCGTTCTTCTAGCATTTATACTAAAATACATTTTAGTATAATACATTTGCAATTGATATACTGGG